GGCGGCGGCTTCGCCGGGGGCGGCGCGCGAGGCGCGCCGTCTGGCATGGCGGCGACGGAGAAACCGGAGAAAGCGGATCTCCAGCTTACCAATTTCAACCGATGGCAGCGCACGAAATCTCCTCGGGATGTGCTCGATCGAACAGATTACCTTGATAATCGCATCAGCTCGTGAAATGGCAACCTTTTACCTGACTCAGGGGGCCCTGAACATCAAATGGCAATGGCACAGACATATGTGAAACAACTCTTTGCAACACATCATGCTATGCTGAAACTGCTGAACTGTGCTAATACACAAGACTACGTACACATAACTGGGTAGAACGGGGGTTATATGGACACCACTGACCCCCCCGAACGCTCCATGAGGGCCCCCAGAGGGCCCAATATGCTCAAAGAGAAGCGAAGGCCTTAAGATGGCCCCAAGACAGCCCCGAAAGGTCCCAAAATAGCCCCAAGGCGGCCCAAGATGGTCCAAGGCAGCCCCCAAGATGCCCCCATGAGGCCCAAATCATGATACACACCTTGTGTGTTTCACTGAGTTCGACTTTCTCTCCGTTTCGCTTCCGATGGGCTTCCGGGACATCCAGAGAGCTCCAAGATCGCTAAAGATAGCTCCAAGTGGAGTCAAGAAAAAGCTCTCAGAAGGCCTTAAGCGGGCACGAGAAGGAAGCTGAGTTGGTAGCAGGTCTCAAGATGTTCCAAAAGCAACCCTAGGAGGCCCCAAGGTAGCTCCGAGATGGTCAAAGACAGCTCCCAAGAGGCTCCCCAGAGGCCCCTCAGAGGCCCCAAAAGGGGCCCCAAGGAACCCCTGAGAGGCCCCCAGAAACCTCTCAGAAACCTCCCAGGGACTCCCAGGAGCCCCTCAGATGCTCACCCAAGATGTTCCAAGGAATCCCCCGCAACTGCTCAACATGGTATAAGTAGACGTCTCTATGGATTACATGGTATTTGCCTTCTCGTGCTTTCGGACATCGACGGTGAAACGCTGAGCCTCTAACAAGACTCCAAGTTGGCCAAGATTGGGGGCTACGTGGGCTGATCCTCTGACGATTCGCTTGAAAAAGGTATCCCCCAACTTGGCTTTATGGTCTTATACACGGCCGCCCCCCCCATGCACGCACAAGCGCCAACTCGGACACGATGGCAGAATGCGCAAAGCGATTCGCCGCCTCGCCAGGGCACAGCGCGTGAGATCCCCGCCGCAAGATTATGCCAGGAATGTCCTTCGTATATCATTTCACTGACACGCTGCTCGTATTCACAAATCGTCCTCAGCGCATGTTGAGGACATCCTGAGCCATCTGGGACCGCGTTCGCACCCTCTGCCATGTACGTTGCCCTCGTCTTCCTCCACAAGGCCTCCCGAAGTCTTTTCAACGGTCTTCACACCTCGCCATTTGCTCATCAAAGAAACATCGTTGCAAAACGTGGAGCGGCGGTGTCTCTCCCGTCAGGGGCGTTAAAGTAACCACGCCGATGGCGTCGGCGCGCGTGAGACTGAGGGGGACGGGGTGGTCGTTCCGAGGAGGCCCTGGAAGCTCTGCCCCCCCATCTACCTGCAGTCACGATGCGCAATCGACTCGAAGGGAAGCCCCTTCTCTTGGATACCTTCCCCGCCGAGGGAGGGATCACCGGGGGGGCGAACCTCCGCGACCCTCTGGAGTTGCTCGGGCGATCTCGGGGCCAGCTTGGATGCCCTTGGGCCACCTAGGCCGGCTAAGAACCCTCTCGGGGCAAACCTCGGCACTCTTGGAAGTCTCGCGGGCCGTTTTGAAGTCCTGGGGGCAGGCCTCCAAGGCTCAAGCCGGCTGAATCCATTTAGCGTCTGCCTTGTATGATCTGATCATTCTCGCCGCATCGGTCGCAAGAGCGTCCAAGACGGCCCAAGAACCGCCCAAGAAGCGCCCAAGACCAGCCCAAGAGACCCCCAAGAGAGGCCCAAGAGGCTCCCAAGACGGCCCCAACAGAGGCCCAAATATGTGCAACTTTCGCACCGCAAGAAGCTGACCCTCCAGAATGATCCCCAGATTCCGAAGAGGCCCAAAAGAGGCCCCAAGAGGCCCCAAGATGAACCGTATTGGGCAGACCCCTGTACCGCATCTTGCGCCCAAACTGTTCACTTCTCAGGGTTGGCGAAACCAGGCGCAACGCCTTTGCAATTCGCCAGCCCACCGGGCCAGAGGCGTGCTAAGATCTCCGGCGACTGCTGTACATTATTTCTGCTTCGCGCGCGCGGGGCGGCCCCTGGGGGCCCCTGGACGGCCGATCCCTTGACAGAAATTGCTTTTCCCCTGGCCGCTGCACTCGACGCCCTCCAGAGAGCGCCAAGAGGAGCTAAGAAGTCCCCAAGACGCCCCCAAGATAGGACTTGAGGGCTTCGAGACGCCGCAGGATCGCTCCAAGACGCCCACCATGGCCTCCACACGCCCCAAAAGGCTTTCAAAAGCACTCCCAAGAGTGCCCCAATAGGCAAAATTCAACGATTTGCCATAGGTTTTGGACACATTTGGGGGTTTCTCCTTCGTCGGCTTCCCGACGCTCCAAGATGGCCCAAGAGGCTCCCATGATCGCCCTAAGAGGGTCCAAGAGGGTCCCAAGACAGCCCCAAGACGGCCCAAGAGAATTCCAGAACCGCCCAAGACGATTCCAAAACGGCCCACGAAGGCCCCAAGACCGTCCCAAGAGAAGCCTCAAAGGGGAAACACGAAACAACCTTTCGTGCCCTCGGTCATAAGATGCCCCCAGGAAGTCCACAGAGGCCTCCAAGAGGCCTCTGGAGGCTCCCAACAGACCCTCCGGAGGCCCCTAAGAGGCTCCAAGAGCCCCAAAGAGGTTCCACGTTAAGACGTCCCCAAAAGCCTCGGAGACCTCCCAAGAGCTTCCTGTGCACTGTTCCCCAGAAGCTCACGGCATCGCTCCGAGGAGATCCAAGAAGCATCTCTGAGAAGTCTGACCCATAAGCCACGCACAATGACAGGATGGGCCGAATGCTCATAGATCTAAGCCCCAGTACGCTGGAGCTCACCAAGGGGAGCTCGGGTCCAATCACAGATGCACCAAAGAGGACGCGCAGGAGAGCTGCAATCAGGCAGATGGGATCCAGAAGCGCGAGAGAAAAGAAGGACAAGGAAGAGGGAAAAGCACCGCCAGCCTCACGAGCACAAAGTCAGGAATGGCGCGTTTCCTTAAAGCAGTCTCGCAGTCCGGTGCTGACCAGACTCCCCCCCCCCCTCCACCGTCCCCACCGAACGCTGGCGCGAGCGCGCGCCCCCCCTGAGCAGACATCTGCAGCGCAAGCGCTGTCACTGACCTGTGTTTTCCTGCACTTGCTCCTCCGTCCTCCCTCCATGCCCCCCGAGCCTCCCTCCCACGCCGCCGATCTATGAGCCCGTCCCATTCCCCCCCCGCTCCAGCTCCAGCTCCTCGCTCTACCATGCAGTCTCGCTCGTCCTTCCGCGGCCCGCTTTTCCTCCTCCCTCGCTTCGTGGCCTCCGCTGTCATGCTATTTCCTTTCCCCACCCTCCCCCGCCACCTCCTCCGCCACCTCCTCCTCTACGCTCCACCTTACTCCACACTACGCCTTCTCCACCTCCACCTCCTCCTATATGTCTCTCCCACTCACGCTCTCCATCCAATCGCCTACCGCCCCGCACACGCCCGGGAACACACAGCGAGAAGACGGAGAAAGTAAGAAGCAGACGAGCCTCAGGAAGTAGACAGCGCACATCTGGACAAGAAAAAACCAATGATCGCATTCAAAGCCCGCCACTCTCGGACACGAGGGTTCCATCATCGCATCAGATGTCCCCTCCCCCCATCGACAAGCCCCACAATGAGCATCCACGACCAGCACACTCCCACAAAGGAATTTCGAGCATTCGGCCCTAACGGGCACCTCCGAAACCACCAACAAGCCCCCAAGAAACCCCAAGAAATCCCCAAGATGCCCAAAAACATGCCCCCAGGGCCCCAAAACGGCACCCAAGAGACCTCAAGAGGCTTCAAAACTGCCTCCAAGAGGCTCCCGAAACGCCTGCCAAGAGACCCCAGCAGCTCCGCATTAACAACGAGCCCTCGGGCAAACGGCAGGGATGAGGCTACATGGGCCGAAGGAATCAGCGAAGCGATTCATAAATGAGTGGCTCAAATATGATCATAGAATCTACACCGATGATGCGCAACCAACTTATATCAGCACCCGCACGCACGCACAACCACCGATGTGCAAGGGCAGTGACAAATCCCACCAGCCCTTTGGACGACAGGTGGTCTCACGAGATTCCTCTTCCCTCTTCCAAAAAACCCCTCTTCCCCTGCGGGGACGGGTTTACCCCTCCCCTTACCCTTCCCCTGGACTTTTTCGGGCCCCCCCGCGAGGTGTCAGGGCGTCCAAAACGGCCTCGGCGAGGAAGCCAAAATCATTGGTTTTACTAAGATTTTGGGCCCATTTTGGCCTCTTTGGGGGGGGGGGCGAACGTTATCCCACGAGCCCTCTGGGCGCCAAAATCACTGGTTTTGCTAAGGTTTGGGCCCCATTTTGGCCTCTTTGGGGGGGGGGCTGAACGTTATCCCACCAGCCCTCTGGGCGCCAAAATCATTGGTATTAGTAAGGTTTTGGCCCCATTTGGGCCTCTTTGGGGGGGGCCGAACGTATCCCAGCTCCTCCTTTGATCGATGGCCTTCAAGATGGCCCGAAGAGGCCTTCCAGGGCTCCCAAGAGGGCCCCAAGAGAGCCCCAAGAGGGCCCCAAGAGGGCCCCTAGACGGCCCCGGAGGCCTCCAAGACGCCCAAGATGGCCTCCCAGTCGGCTAAGATGGCCCCAAGATGACTCCAAGACGGCCCAAGGTGCACCCAAGACGGCCTGAGATGGCCTCTGGCCAAAATCACTGATTTTCCTTAGGTTTTTTTTTTTGCTTTTTACTGTGCCTCCCGCCGCCTCCCCTGCGTCGCTGCGCTGTCGCCAGGCGAGTGCGGCCGGAAGGCCACCCTCGCTCCTCACGGCTTCTTTGGCTGGTTCGGGCCTGGGAAGCGGCCAGTGGCGAACCCGCCAAGCTCGGCATCGTAGGTGCCGAGAGCGCCCTGGCCCGAGAACCTGTTGACAAACTTTAGCATGTAGTTGTTGTGGCACGTCTTCCCCTGGTGGACCACTGCTGGCAAGGTCCCGTCCTCGTTCCAAACGCGGCCAGCGCTGTCGATGATCACAATGTCCTCCATGGAATGGTCCGGCTTCTTCCCAGGCTGATTGGAGCAAGGCAAACCCATCGTGTTCACGATCCACGCCCCGTACTTTTTTGTAATGGCCCAGGGCATGGCGTCCTGGACGTATACCAGATAGTTGAAGACAGCCTGGTCAGCTATCTTATTAGGGTCGCACTCGGCCCTGGTCGAGAGCTTCTCAAACTCCTCCTCCATCCGTCCTAGCCACCTTAGCATGCCCGCGCGCGGACCGAGGGTAGTCGCGACGTTGAGCATCGGGTGGTTGGCAACCTTGTCCGCTGCCTCCTCGCCGTAGCACGTCCTGACGGCATTGTGGACGAACCAGTGGCTCGTGGTCACTCCTCGCTGCCCGCCCTCCGCGTCGACGCGCGGTTGCATCTCCTCGGTGAGGAAGACGGTGTCCGAGGGCACCTGGCCATTGTCTGGCAGGACGCCGAAAGGATTCCTCTGGAAGTTGACGTCCCCGTAATCGGCATGTAGTGCCCACCCAGTACATGTGGAACACTGCTCAAGCCACCTGCGGGCATAGAGGAAGCGAGCCCACTCCAACTTCAGGTGCGGGAAATCCACCGTGCAGACGTTTCGGATTTCATAATTGCTGGCACCTGCTGCAAGTTCGTAGCGCAGCTTGCAAGGCGCTCGGACCAAATACATCGGGGTGACCTCGGCTTTGGCCAAGTAACCGTCCGGGTCTTCCGTGCCCTCCCAGACTCCCAAAAATCCGCCGGCCCCCTTGTGGGGCCACCAGGCTGTAGGCCCGTGATTCGCAGTTTCCTGTACCAGTTGTAGCTTGTAGTTTCCAGTGTTACAGTTCTGCTTCTTGCTGGTTACTGTAACTAGTTGATTGACCGCGCGAGGGGGGGGGAGGCCCAAACAAGACTTTTTAGCACCCCCTGGGCGCGTTGTCTGAATTGCTGGGGGGGCTCGAAATCGACACCCCTCACGCAGATCCGCGGGGTCAGGGTCCAAAAACACAAGGGATTTGCCACATTTCTGAAATTCGGTGCCACCCCTCACGCAGATCCGCGGGGTCAGGGTCCAAAAACACAGGGATTTGCCACATTTCTGAAATTCGGTGCCACCCCTCACGCAGATCCGCGGGGTCAGGGTCCAAAAACACATGGGATTTGCCACATTTCTGAAATTCGGTGCCACCCCTCACGCAGATCCGCGGGGTCAGGGTCCAAAAACACGGGGATTTGCCACATTTCTGAAATTCGGTGCCACCCCTCACGCAGATCCGCGGGGTCAGGGTCCAAAAACACATGGGATTTGCCACATTTCTGAAATTCGGTGCCACCCCTCACGCAGATCCGCGGGGTCAGGGTCCAAAAACACAGGGGATTTGCCACATTTCTGAAATTCGGTGCCACCCCTCACGCAGATCCGCGGGGTCAGGGTCCAAAAACACATGGGATTTGCCACATTTCTGAAATTCGGTGCCACCCCTCACGCAGATCCGCGGGGTCAGGGTCCAAAAACACAGGGGATTTGCCACATTTCTGAAATTCGGTGCCACCCCTCACGCAGATCCGCGGGGTCAGGGTCCAAAAACACAGGGGATTTGCCACATTTCTGAAATTCGGTGCCACCCCTCACGCACATCCATCGCAAGGCGTGGTAACCCAAACTGCGAGTACTCCCTCGGCCCTTTAATCCCAAGGTGTGGTAACCAAGCTCGTAAACCATACACGTCTTACCAATCGCCCTGTGTGGTAACCCCTCTTGTGATCAGTTGGTTTTGCCGATTGCGAATCGGCCTCGCATGAAGTTCCGATACTGCTGCACGACAGCGCCAAGGCCTCATGACTTAGCTCTTCCATGGCCCATTCTCCGAGAGAGGGGGCCGGCGGCAGGGGGCGAAGCCCTTACGGATACTTTCCCGCGGAAGCCCACGCCGCGCAGCGTGTTCACGAAGGCGAGGTTGAACGAGCTCACAGGCTTGCTGTACGCGGCCAGCGCGATGACAGCATCCACGGAAGTGTCACGCTGCGGCTCCGTTCGGCCAACTCCTCCGCCGAGCGCTGGAGCAGGCTTCGAGACCGCCGCGCCAGGGCCGCCCAGGCTCGGCACGACTCCTCCGCCGGTGGCATCATGCTGCTGCAGGGGAGCGCCCAGCGGGCTGGGAGACAGCGAGGACAGTCCGACGGGGCTGGCCAGCATGCTCAGCGGCCCGCGCGACAGCGACAGCACCGCGACGACCAACCCGGCGACGCACAGGAGGCAGCGCACCGATGCAGGACACAATGCGCAACGCTGGCGGTGAGCCTCTCCCATGTTCAGCGCTGAGCCTCGAAGCCTCGACGGTGGAGATCGCACATGGGCCACCGGGACGGCCGAAGGTCTGCAATCACCACGAGGAGCTGCGGGGCGCCACAGCTAAAGTCCAAATGGCTTGAGCCAACATGGTTACGGATTTGATGTTCCTTAGGTTTGTGACAGATTCTGGCATTTGCTTCTTTTCGGCATTCCGACGGCTCAAGATGGCCCAAGAGGCCCCCAACATCGCCCACGAGGCCTCCAAGATGGCCCCATGACGGCCCAAGAGGCCCTCAAGACGGCCCCAAGAGGGCCCCAAGAGGCCTCCAAGACGGCCAAAATGGCCTCCAAGACGGCTAAGATGGCCCCAAGATGACTCCAAGACGGCCCAAGATACACCCAGGACGGCCCCGAAGATGGCCTCAAGATGGCGCAAGACGGCCCAAGAGGCCCCCATGAGGCCTCCAAGACGGCCCAAAATGCGTCCAGGAGGCCTTCCAGACGGGCAACGAAGAGGGCACGAAGAGGCAAAATGGACAGATTTTGGGATTAGCTTCTTCTCGGCATTCCGACGGCTCAAGACGGCGCAAGAGGCCCCCAAGATCGCCCAAGAGGCCTCCAGGATGACCCCATGACGGCCCAAAAGGCCCCCAAGGCAGCCCCAAGAGGGCCCCAAAACGGACCAAGAGGCCTCCAAGACGCCCAAGATGGCATCTAAGAACCCCTGCTGTGCCACAAGAGGGCCCCAAGACGACCCAGACAGGCCCCCAAGACGGCTTCCGACGGCGTCAGACAAACCAAGAACACCCCAAGACGGCCAAAGAGGCCCGCAAGAAGCCCCCAAAGGCCCCCACAAACCCTCCAAGAGGCCCCCAGGGAGCCCCCAGGAGGCCTCAAGAGTGCCCCAAGAGGCGCCCAAGAGGCCTCTTCTTCCTCCTCCTCCTCCTCCTCCTCCTCTTCCTCTTCCTCCTCCTCATCATCATCATCATCCTCCTCTTCTCTTCGCCCCCACGCGACCCCCAGGGATGGCCCGAAGGGGCCTTCCAAGGCCACCCCCTTGCTCCCAGAGATCTCTCGGTTCATCCTGGTTGGTCGCTTTGTTTCCCTAGATGTGTCCCTTCGTCCTTTTTCCCGTCAGCTCTCGTGGGCAAGGTTTCTGAATGGGCTGGTGGGGGTACTTTTTGATCGCGACCGCAGGCGGGCACCCGCGCGGCGCCAGAAGGGTCGAACAGCAAGCGAGAGTCGGAAACACAGCGCAACTCTCGCCGGCTAGACGCTGGAAAAGAAGGCCACAAAAATGACGAAAACTAGCAAGCGACGCGCAGCGGCAACGCGGGGGAGGCGGGAGCGAACGAAGACAACAGAAGAAAACGAAGAAAGAGAGGACACGACGAAAGGCGAAAGACGAACAGCGGGAAGAAGAACGGAAGGGCAGCCGCTCAGAAGAGCAGCGAGAAGAAGACCACCCTGATCTTGCTGTGCATCATGTATTTGTCGTAAACAAGAAGCAGAACTCCTCACCACCAACCAGTCAGCTGATGCAGATGCCTCGTAGGACCCGGTGACTGCAGAGCCCAAAGAGAACAGCGGCAGCAAAAATAAGTAAAGCCAACGTGCCCTCGCAAGGACCGGGTGTCCACGATGGTCTCGAGTGCAAGCGAGGCCGATGCTGAAAAGAAGCGTGACCGCAGACCGACGAACGCCCAGCGGCGGCACGAGCAGAAGTCCACCAGCGCCCGGCACAAGGCTGAGAGGCAGCACCCCCGGCCGCCACCAATGCCATCGCAGAGCCGACTGGGCGAGGGGGGCCGGCCGCTCCAGTCTGGCCAGCGACCGGCCGCTCCAGCCAGCCAGCGACCGGCTAGCAGTCGCGATTGCAAAAAGGTGCGCCTGAGGTGGCCCAGCGCCCAGCGGGGGGGAGCCGGCGGCAGCAAAGTGAAGGGCAACGGTCCCACCTGAGACGACCTGAGCCGGAGCGCAGCTAACAGCCGCAGAGCGTTGGAGGAAAGCTTCGCCTGAGACCTGGTATCCTCTGGCAGGGTGCAGCTAGCAGCCGCAGGAAGGTGGGAAATTGGTTCGCCTGAGACGCGCAGCCTGGGGGGGCACAGGCCGCGCCTGCCAAAGCGGCGGGGGTGCAGCAGCATGGAGATGGGGGAAGGCACCGCGATTGCTTCGCCTGAGACGGGCAGGTTCTCTGGTAGGGCGCAGCTGACAGCCGCGGGAAGGTGGGAAATGGTTATCTTCGCGTGGGACATGTTTCGCCTGGGATGGACGGACGTCCAGCGGGGGCGAAGTTAGCCGCGGCAGGGTGAAGAGAGACGGTTCCACCAGAGCCACCCTGAGCCGGGGTGCAGCTAACAGCCGCAGAACGTAGGGTCATAGCAACGCCTGAGACATATAGGTCCTCTGGTAGGGCGCAGCTAACAGCCGCAGGAAGGGGGAAATCGTTTCGCCTGAGACGCGCAGCCCGGGGGGCACGGGCTGGCCTGCATAGAAGGTAGGGAACGGCCACAGGATGCGGGGTAGTGGCCCCGCCTGATACGTGCCAATGCCCAGCAGGGCGCAGCCAACAGCCGCAGAGCGGGGGGAAACGAAACCACCAGAGAAGTCCCGAAACGCGGGCGGAGTACAGCTGACAGCCGCAATGTGGTGGGGGATTGCTTCGCGCTTGCTTCGCATGAGACGTCCCGGTTCCCTGGTAGGGTGCAGCTGACAGCCGCAGGAATGTGGAGGACGGTTATCTTCGCCTGAGACATACTGATGCACTGCATGTGAGCAGCAAACGGCGGGGTTGCCGAATGCCGCAGACGGCCACGCAACCGAGGAAAACGCCAGAAGGACCGTCGAGCCCAACCCTCAGGGAGGGGAGGGGAGCCACAGCCAGAACCACACCAGTGCAGAGACAGCCGCAGCGGCGTGAAGCGGGCGGTGGACACAACGGCCGAAGTAAACGATCGACAAGGCGGGGCCCAGAGGGCAGCCGACCAGAAGGAGAATAGAAAGGCGACTAAGGAGATAATGGGAGCAACCAGGAGCAGGATAAGGCGCAGTCAGCCCAGAGGGCCCGCCGGGGGAGGCATGTGCACCAGGGCGCGGGGAGGACGCAGCGCGGAAGGACCGCCCTTTGGCTGCCAGGCTCTCCCGGGGGGCGGAGCGGCGCAGCGAGGTGGCGAGGCAGCGGGGAGCTGCAAAGTGGCTGCCGCAAGGGCACTAACAGTGGCAGGGGCCAACTAGGGGCCAGATCCCCAGGTCGCCTATAGCGAGACGGGGGAGGCGGCAGTCATCATGGGGGAGAGAGGCCGCCAGGAGTGCCCCAGCGAGGGGGCCTAGAGCCTGGGGCGGGCCGAAAGCCCCAGCCTGGCGCGTCCAAGGTGGCACTCGCACGCCAGAGCGCGCGCGCGGTAGCAGGCCGCCACCGTGACCCCCAGGGGCGGGTCTTGCGGGAACCAGACAGCGACGGCGCGGTCTGTCGGGCCTAGGAGGGGGCCCGGGACGAACGGGTGCCCGGGGTGCTCCCGGGGCCCGCTGCCCGGCTTCGCCTGGCGTCGCTCCCTCCGCGCAACCCTTTGCCTTTAGCTTTGCCGGGGTTGTCCGCGAGCTTGGCCCTGTCAGTGTTCATGGTGAAGACGTGGTACCTGAAGCGGGCCCACTCGCTGAGAAAAAGCGAGCAGGACTCTGGCTGTTGGAGCGTAGGGTCGGCGCAGACCCTGCCAGATTGCTCTGGATACTTGGTCGCCCACTGGTGCCAAAGGCCAGTAAAGTAATCGCCCAGCTCCCTTTGGGGCCTCTTCACGGTCTCAGCGGGAGCCTCTCCGACGCGGCTGCGGAGGACGACCCTGTCGAGGGGGGCACTGTAGACGCACTGGTTGGTCACGGGGTCGCGAAGATCACGTGGTCCTTCGCCCTGAAAGTTCCTGGAGTTATAATGCTCAGGGGCTGCGCCAGCCTGGGCAGCAGATGCTGCGCACGTTGTGTGAGAGGGTACTGATGTTGGCAGGCTTCACGATCCTTTCCAGGACCAGCATCGGGGCCTTGAGCTTGAAGGGGAAGGGTTCCATGCCCGCGTAGGTGGTCGGGCAGCCGGCGTCCTTGGCGGCTGCATGGCGGCGGGCGGCGGTGACCAGCTTGGCCACCGTGCCAATCAGCTTCTCCAACTTCCCGTGTAGCTGGCGTAGGTCGGACAGTTGAAGCTCCCATGAAGAGACGAATTGCGTCCGGAAGTGGCGGTCACCGTCCTGCCACGGGCAGCAGACCCCAGGAATGGCTTCCAGGATGTCCCCAGAGCCAGAGGGGTCCGGGAAGAGCAACATGTGGGTGCGAGGTTCGCGCTTCATGAGCAGCATGATGATCAGAGCGCAGCGGGCCTTTTCGGAGGACATGACGAGCCGACTGGGGTCTAGCAGTTCCACCCGCGTCTGCGTGGCCCCGCCGTGGCCCTTCAGGAGGTCGACGAGGATCTCGAAGCCGGGGAAGACCAGGTGGCGCGGACAAGTCCTGGCTCCTTTGGACCAGGCGTTAGGGACGTGGTGAGGGAGGTCCTGGGGGGTGCAGCGGTTCTTGTTCTGCGGCCTGCGGGCGGCCATTGGACCTCCGGTCTTGGGGGCAGCTCTTCGTCCAGGATCTCTCGAGAGGAATCGACCCAGTCCGTACCCAATCCGATGGCCCAGACCAGGGCAGCCCAGGTCATGTTGCAAACCAAACTACCAGCGTCCAGCCCTAGGTCTACGTCGTACAGGAAGCCCAGGTGGCTCCGGGCCTTCCTATCGAACTGCCCGGCGTCGGAGGGAGTGCCTTCAATATTGTACTGGTGGGGTGCAGTCCTGCAGTAAGGAAGAGGACGGTGGAGAAAGCTCGGTCAGTGAATACCGCCTCGAGCGCACCCTCCAGACGGAACCCGACGTCCTCCCAGCGCTGCTCGGTTTCCAAGGGGAGGTCGCATTGCACGTTGAAGTACTTGGCGTGGAGGTCCCGCCTCGCTGCCACCTCCTGTGAGGCCCTACTCCCATCTTCGCTTGTGT